TTTAACATCATTAGCAATAAAAGAATATCGACATATATTACAATTATCTCGAACTTTTGTACGTGGACGATTAGCTGGAGATAAATATTGTGGTGTTATATGATATGTATGATAATGAAACTAAATAAATAATTTGAGAATAAATTCTTTGAATTTATATTTTTAATACTTAGATATTAGTTTAATGTAATTGTTATCGAAAAATCTATCAAATTAAAATCATTTGTTGGCAATGTAATTTTGAACACCTGTATTTGGGAATCAGAAATATCTCTAGAGACCTTTGTTCAGAGGAGTTAGCAGTAATAAAAGCATGCGTTAACGATGTGACACAAAAAAAAAGGTTTTTACCTTTCACTTCATGCACTTTAGTTTAAAAAAAAATCCGAATTGAGGCTAGAAAATCTATATCGAAAGGTTTTTTGAAAGCATGCTTAGATTTTCCAAAAAAATTCATTTACTTTTCGATAGCGATATGACTGAGTACGAATATACAAACGAAAAAATGCTCTTATAACCGAATGAGAAGTTTCAAACTGCACAAATCCTTCTTCAGAATCTCTCATTACTTATTAATAATTATAATTCTTGTCAAATGGCAGATGGGTATGTCCCATTGTGTCCGAAATGACTCATACATCATCGAATTTTGATTCAAACAAATTTTTCTTTGAATTTCAGTATCACGAAAAAAAAGTTGAAATTTTATCGATTGACTAATTGATTTCAACATTTCAAAAATAATTGTTTTTATAATATAATATAATCTAAATAAATCATCATACTCAATGTATGTTTTATTGAAAATAAACAATCACTGTGTAATTTTTTTTTTCTCTGTCGTTCTCCATAGGAAAGTATATGATTACTATAAAATGAAGAACAACTTACTTTAAATGCAACATTTGACATAAAAACTATAAAAAAAACGATTACATTTAAAAAAAATTTTTTTTTTTAAATAGATTTTACTTTGATGACAAATATCACATTTAAGACATGTTTGTTTAATACCATCACTAATATATGTTTCGGATAAAAATTTTTTTGTTATTTGTAATTCAAATTCTAATGAACGATTATTCATAACTAAATGTACATTATCATCATCAATAAATTCATTTCCTGGTTCTTGTTCAAGAATTTTTATTGCTGGATTATCTTGATGTTCAGTTGTTTGTTGTTGTCGAGTTTCACGACGTGTTCGACCATTTTCTCTTTTATCTTATTTAATCAATGAAAAAATAAATAACAAAATTTATCATTCTTTCAAAATTATTTTACCTTTCTTTTTTGATTTTTGTCGTTCAATAAATGTTAATAATTCATCATCAGGATGAATTGTCTACAAACAAAACAAAAAAAAACAGAAAAAATAATTATTTAAAAACACTTTATTTCAATTACTTTTAATGAAAAATAATGAATTTGTTGATTTTGTTGCATACAAACAACATTTTGTTGTGATTTATCATGTGTCCATCGTATAAAACGAAGAAAATTTCCATCACTTGGATTACTTGCATCAATATAAAAAACAGGTATACCACGAGCACTTAAAATCTATATATACAAAAAAAAAAAAAAAGAATATTTTCAAAATAAATTTAAACTTACTGCCCAAACATATTCCTCATCAGCTGTTTGAGGTAAAATACGACGAATTTTTCCACGATATATTCCTAATGGTTCATTAGGTTTTAGTGTTCGTGTAGCAAATAAACCTTAGGAAAAAGAAAAAAAAACAAGTAATCTTTTTGAAAAAATAATGAACTATAATAGAATTTCTTCAAAAGAAGAAAAGAATACCATTGTGTCCAATTTTAGCTTTTGATGGTTTAAAACAAAGATAATTCGGTAACTGAATATTATCTTCAGTCATATCTAAAAATCATATGTTTAATTTTAGTATTTCTTTTCTTTTAGAAGTTTAATTCAAATTAAAATATGATTAAAAGTTTTTTTTTTAAATTAAATTTATGCATTTCTTAGAAAACGAACAAGTAATATATAACAACAAAAAATAAAAGAAGTCGACCTCGATGGATGGTGACAACTGTCCTTAAGGAATATTTTTGTCTATATTCTTTTGAGAATTGAAAATACTTTATTGATATATCACTGTTGAAAAAGACTTCTTTTTTTTTTTCTTTTCATAATTCAATGAAAGAAATGATCGCTTCAAAAAAATGACATTCATAATTGAATGCATACGCCATCTCATATCTTCCATTGTTTTTAATAATATCAGAGGCTCAATTCGACGATTGAAAGATGTCGCTCAACTGTTGGAGAAAAAATATCAGTTAAAATACATCGATTTCTTAATTGAAACTAATATTTTGTTTTTTATTTGAATATATTTAATAGATATTCGTTCATTAGAATTGAATTTTCTTTTGATTATTCAATATTTTTATAAATTTAACATTGAATAAGGTCACTATGACTTACAAAATAATTATGTTCTTTGGCAATGTGTTGTGCGTAATACTTTGAGAGTAGATGCGGAGGACTATGTATGAAGTGAACTTAGCATAAGTACATTATATACCTATTTTTTTATGTATAGTACAGAGAATTATCTATGATTGTCTTGAGTATTTCAAAGATATTTGAAATTCTTGTCTATTATAAATGATTTACTAAAGTGAAAGAAAAAGATAATTTCATGTCATTGTCGAATGATAAACTTCTCCCATTTTTTTTTTCGTTAGGATAATCATTATTTAATAGACAAAAAGATATTTCATACAATAATTTTCAAAAGAAAATTTATTAGATGATATATTTCAGTAAAAAAAAACCAATAATAGTTAAATATTCAAAATAAATAAAAATATAAATACAAAACTGAAACAAAATATTCTTGAATTACAATATTAGCACAAACTTGTCTTCAATTGTGTTATGAGAAATACGTAAAGTTAATGCTTTGCACAACTCATAATATAATATTGCTAGATTTAGTTTATTTGTATGAGGATGTGGATGAAGACAAGAATGGCATACACACCCGCACTTGCATCCAATGATGCCAATGTCTGTATTTCAGTTTTTTTTTATCAACGCTGCATGTTTCTAATAATGGATGATTATTTAACGAAATAAGATATTTTAGTTTTTCATCCGAGGACACATTGATTATACAGAACTAGATATAAAAGTTATATCTCAAAAACCAGATAAATTTACAAAATGACCTAATACTCAGTTAAATTCACAATCGTCGAATGTGAAAACCTCATAGAATAATTGTTTAGTAGACAAGTGAATACTATATTCAAAATCAGTTGTCAATGGAGATTTCGAAGAAAGAATTGGTTTGGAAAATTGAAGAAGCAGAAAAACAGGAAAGTCTATTTGATGTTCTGAAAAAGTGTATTTTTTTCGAAAAACATCGTTCTTTAAAATTTTTAACAGTTTGTGACTTGAAAAAAGTGTTTAAAAAAAATTTAAAATGTTAGTTTTTTTTAATACGTTCTTTCGAATGATATGTAATTTAATAGAAAGTAAACTTAGACTCACTATTTGAATTTCCATTTACACCCCAAATACTAGTGATTTTTCAAAAAAAAAACAAATTGCTAAGTTGGAATACGGGTGTGGTGATTGGAACTAAAGTTTTGCCAAAAGGTCCTATCATAGAAAGTATTGTAGAGAAAAATTGTGAAGAGAAAAAGACCTGAAGGACACTTCAGAGCATGTGAATAAGACATTTTATTCTTAATTCGTATGTAAATATTTTGGGAAATATTAAATGTACAAATTCTCAAGTTTTGAATTGCCGTATTTTTAATGCCAAAATTCGACTTCATCTCGAGTTGAGCTCAGACTTCTTATTCCCATGCTCTAAAGTGTTCTCTACAAGTTATGTTCTCATCCTTTTTTCATACAATTGTCCATTTGATTTGAATGTGGGTTTGAAGAAAAAAAAACAAAGCTCGATTTCCAATAGAAATGGAGTCTTTAGAATTATTTATTGATATATATACATGTGTATGAGACGATTACAAGCAATTTGTATCGTTTGGCTTCAACTTTTTTTTTGAAAATTTCATTTATCAGTGAAATGATTTCGCGTATTCGGGTAGATAGTGCTACTAGAGAAATGAAAAAGGCCAGTAGTTGTCCCATTACTGTTATCAAGAATAGCCGAAATTTCGAAAAAAATGGTATTTTTAAGCTTATTTTTGAAAATCACCGAGTCATCGTAAAGATGCAATAGGAAGTGTTGAAAGCCTCTGTTAGAAAAACGGATCGACGATGGACCTAAGCGAAATCATAAGCTATCCAGAAATATCCCAAAAAGAACGTGTACATGTTAATCTTTTATTAAGTCTGTGTTTCAGAGAATATGTTCTGTTGATGCATAAGGAACGAAATAAAGGCTATTTTAACCTAAATAAACTTGCCATTGTCGCTTGTAAAGGATTTTACACATCTATTTAGATGAATCTTTCACAAAGTTTTCAATTCATATAAGATACATCTAGGTTTCTTCCTGTTTTGGTGGAAAAAAATCGATTTTACTGTCAAAAAATTGTGACGAGACCTCTAGCAACAGACAATAGGTTGGTGATTGATTTTAGCAGCCCAACTAGCTACATCTATGAAGTATATTTTCTGAATAAATCGTTGAATTTGACTGAGAATCTACATGATATAAGTTTAAACATGTAATTTTTGTTCAAATAGTACAAATGGTTTGCAATCGTCTCGTATATGTACATGCTCCCTTTTTTCAATGGTGGGTCTAGCAAGCCTATAATATATACAGTAGCAAATCATTCTAAAAGATAGGGTGTAGATGAGTGTGGGTATGAGTGTTGATTATCTTGGTCCTTGCAGGCATACCCACATTCACATTCTACACCCATATCTCACATCCACACTGATTCACACCCACACCCACATCTAAGAATATCTAAAACAATATTTATTATTTAAAATGAAAGTGTATTGATGCTAGATGTTCGAATAGTAGTGGTGTTAAATATTTAACAAGGTGGTTCGTTGGGTTTTGCTTCGGGATCGATTGGATAAGCTGGACATGAACATTTACAAAATCTTATTTTTCCATATTGATTCAATGGACATTGTAAATCACAACCGGAACATAGATAGACATACCATGTATTAGCATAAATTTCACATTTATTTGTAATTTTCGAGCAACCACCCGGTGAAGTCCATTCACCATTGACATCATAATCTGTAAAAAAAAAAGACGTGTCATATGTATATAATTTTCTCATCTACAAAGTCGCTTACTTCTAAATCCAGTTCTTACACTATCATCTCTTTGACCATATTGTCTTCGTGCAACAACACGAAAACTTCCTGTTCGATTATGTCGTTCATAACAAATGGGCACTTCTTTATTACTGATAATAATACGATTGTTATTATTTTCGCTTAAGTCTAATGTACAAGCACTCATCATTGTACCAGTATTACATTTCGTTGAAAGCTCAGTATTTGTTAATTCTGTGGGACATACATTCACATTTTGTAATGCTATATCATTTGCATAAGTCCATCTGTAAGCGACCGATTGAACAACAACTTTAGCTGAGAGTGTCATATTTCTTCGTTGTTCTTGAATTTGATATGCATCTGTTTGACGAATGACACTGTTTGCTTCCATACGTCTTTCTATTGCTTGTTTTAAATTTCTTTTTATCGCTTTATTTGATATTAAGTCATACCAAGGCAAATATTTTTCAACAGTTAATAAAGCCGGATTATAGACGATCGTTTTCTTCCATTCATCAGTATTATTTATCAAGAGAATATTACCACCAATTCTATGATCTAATAACTTTTTACGTCTCATATAATAAAATTTATCAAGACATGGAGTTTTTTCTAATAGTTCTTGTTTCAAATTCTCTTCAAATAGAGATTGAGAGAGTCCATCAGTGATTTCAGTTGTATCCGTCATACAACTTTTAAACAGAATTTGTTGTTCTGTCATACCACCGACTTTTGTTGATATAGTAATATGTGTTCCCCAAGCTGCTATAAAATTTTCATAAAGTTCATCGTTATATTGAACTGTTAGAGCATTAACTGCTCGTTGAGCATATTTATTTAATTTTAATGAATGAACATTATTTTTTATTGTTACTGTATATTTAGTCTTCAAATCTTGAGTTATTGCTGTTGCTTGATTATCTTTGAAATACTTTTCATAAACATCAAACATATTTTGAACATATGCTAGCTGACCACCAGTCCATGTACCAGCTGCTGCATTCTTAAGCCATACATCAACCAAATCAGTTTCTGTATGAAATATGAGAACATTAATAGAACTTTCATTCAATGATGGCTCCGTTAGTGTTATTTCTGGTGGAATGAGAAATGTTTGCTTTGATTCATTTTCTGTCCATTGGCGATTACCTGTAGATAGTTGCAAAGCTGGCAGTAAAAGGTCACCAGTAGTCACATCAATGGCCATACCTACACTGTGTGGTAGTTGTAAAACAGCTGCTAATTTTCTGGATGTAATATTATTAGATGTCACAGCTTTATCATCACCAGGACAAAACATTCCTTGAAAACCAATAATTGGACATAAAGCTGCTCGTGCACTGGTTAAATTAAAAGGACTATCAGTAGATTCAGTTTCATTTAATAATAATTCTGTTTCGTTTAGATTAGATAGTTTATTGGACTGAAATTGCAAGCCACAAATATTGATTGCTATGACTTCAAGATAAAATAGCATCCACTGTTGATTAAACATTCTACAAAAGAAAATATTCATTATCATTGTAGAATAATATCTAGTTACCTGGTTTGTCTCTTAATTTATCTCATAATGACTTGAATATTTACAAAAAAAAAATTTAAATTACATCTTTTCCACCATCACTGTATGGATCTGTAAGATTCTATGTTACTTCTATATTTCATGGCTCGAAAAGTTCGTAATCAAATAAATATTTAGTTACTGACGATAACTTGCTCTAAGCTGTTTATTCTATGGGTTTATTCCGGTTTTTTTTTGATTGAATAGAGAAATATGATTACGCATGATTATATAGATTATTATTGAATCGAAAAATCTTTGCATGTTGGAAAAAATAATTTAAAAAATTATTGACCAATATATTTTTTCCATTCTTATGTTTACTTAAGAAATTGAATACAAAGTGTCTATTGTGCGAAAACTGATGCACATTCTCGAAGAGAAAACTAAATATTGTATTAGTATGAAAGAACACAGTCTTTACAAATGATTTTGAGGATCTGTAATACATTAGCCTAAAGTAATTTTTTTTACCTCCTAATTCTGTTTAAAAGACTAAAAATAGCATAAGATGATTTGTTTCTATACCATGAAAAAATTATCATTTAAAGAGTCTCATAATTCAAATTTAATAATCAGATAAAAGCATATTATTGTCATATTTTTATCAAGCTTCATTAAGCATTGTCTCTCAAAATTGTTGAGAAAAGATACAGCTCTTAACAACCTATTTTTACTCTGTTTATTTTTCTTTTTTCCTATTTTCCACCATTCGATGAAAAACCATATTACATTCGTTCCAATAAACAACACAGAAGTAAATTTGCATGATATAAAATGAATAGAAACTGCGTCTAACTTTAATGATTATTCATCCTTATATAATTCTATTCGATTTTTATCTATAAATACGATTAAAATATCGAACATGAATTCACCACTTCCCCTCTAACTATTTACGAGTAATAATAATAATTCAACGATCTAGCAGTTCAAACAAAGCAATATCATTTTATTAGTATACTGGAGGTATGTGCCACATTTGTTTGTAATCATAACTATAATATATATTTATGAAAGAAAATGATGTTAAAACTATTATGCTTAATATTGGTAACAATTATTACAGCAAAAGATCTACCTGGCTTAGATTATCTGGAATCTGGTTTCGATGCCTTGAAGATGATTAGTAATAATGAAGATGTTCAATCATCAGATCGATCAAGATTTCGTTTGTTTGATTTAAGTGAACTTGATGGAGACGACTATATATTGGAAGTAATAAACAAAACTCAAACATTTAAAACACCAAGCGTCATTCAAGTTACCAATATCAATATGAACACTCGTGTCAGTGTTGAATCTGTTTCATATACGTATCAAGAGTTTTTTCGAAGGTAACTATCAATAATATAAAAGCTATTATTCATGAATTAAATGAAGAGAATGACTATCTGTTTTACAGTTATTTTAACTCCTATTCATTTGGTATTTCAATACCTATTGGACCAGCACAAATATCACTTGGTTACCATCGAACATTGAGTGAAGCCTATCAAACTATAAATAAATATCAAACGGCTATTGGAATATCAACGGATTGGTGGGGAATGTTTTCGGTTCAATTGGCACCAGTTTATATTCTGAAGTATGTGTTTACTGCTATAATTCATACTACTAACTTCTCTCGAAGCATTCTAAATCCAAAATGTGAGAAGTGAGATGGAATATAGAAGATAAAAACTGAGAGAAATACGAATTTAGACAAAAATTTAATGATAAACGACAAAGAACTGATTGAGAGAATTGAGTGTAAAAACAAAACATCTGTCCTTAATTATCTTAATCTGTTCTTTCACTTCCTAGTGCAATGACTAGAGAACAGAGTGGAGATTAATGAGAAATGAACTCAATTTTTTTTTCTTGATTTAGTGTTCATACTTCAACACATCCATTTTCGGTATAATTTCGACAGGGAGAAGAAAAAAGAATTTTCAATTTCTTCTCTTAATTATTTACGCATTTCGCTGAAAGTTTACAGTTATGGTCATTTCCTCGGAAAAGACTTTTATCATTGTTTGTCAGCATATTCATATTTTTGCTCATTTTTTTTTTGAGAATTTAAACTAGAAGTCTAAACAGATCTATTGTATATCGGCCTGACCGGCCTATGACAAACTGTAGAACCTGTAGCTTGCCTGCATCTGTCATGTGCTTCCCTTGATCTGGCTTTTGTATTTGTTTTTCTATGCTAATATTTTGAAGATATTGGAATGGAAATAGCAAAATATCTTGATAAGAGAACAAGGAAACTTTATATATCGAAATGAGACTATTAGACAAAACATTTATTTAGTACACTAAGTACCTGAAGAGAAAACATTAGCAGAAAATGCTAATGTTGTTTTATCTCTTTAGATTTGATCCGATATTCAATCGTAGTCTGTCAAAATTAGTCGCTAATCCGACAACAGAAACCATGCAAATGTATTATAATCAGCTGATATCTACATTTGGTACACATTATACTTCGTCAATTATTGTTGGTGGTAATGTGGAAATGTTCACTAAAGTCAATAGTGAATATCAAGAAACTACTAGTAAACAATCAATTTCAGAGCAAATAAGCATTGGCTTCGACTTCCAAATGTATCAAATATCAACTAATATTGATCTCGGTGATGAAATTCGTGTTACTACCGAAGACTTTAAAAAAATACACAAATAGAAGTTAAATTCTCTCCAGCGGTAATAACAACACCTCAAACAAAAAATAAACAATATGATATTTGGTTAGACCGAGCTTCATCTACACCAGTAGTTGTTAATCGAACTCTATTACCATTGGTAGATCTATTGATCGAATATCCGATTGAAATACGACGTCATCTACAATTGACTATTGATTATTACCTGACAAATGGCACGTTACCAACTATCGATCAACTGACGAATGTTGACAAGCGTAAGAAACATGCAACCAATGATCATAATACCTTACCAGGTTTAGATGTTGTCGGATGTGGTTATGATATTTTCTCATTGAAAAGTAAATCTTGTCTACTGAATATAACGATGAATGATAATACAACATGGTTAGATCTATTGAATAATTTCATGACATATAAAGTTCCAGATGGATATTTTGTGACAAGTACTAAAGATTTATTATCAATGTCAGATACAAAATTTTTTAATACATTCAAAGAATTCATTACTGATTCATATATAACAAATCAATATGATTCATTTGGCTTCTTAGGTTTTGGAGCATCGACGGACCGACAAGAAATAAGAACGAGATATCAACGGTTTTATCAACACAAATATCGAATGGCATGGATGAAACAACAGATCATTTGGTTTACATTGGCTGCAGTAACATTTCCTCCGCCCAGACTTAATCGAATTGCTCACTTGTCCATTTCGAGTTTACCTACAACATTCGATTCAAATTCAACTGATTACAAGAAATTTCAGCAATTTTTCAATGCCTATGGTACTCATATTGTTGTTCGAGCTGATATAGGTGGTATGTTATGGGCTGAAGACTATTTTGAGTCGTGTTTAATCACTAAAATGACTGAAATATGGATTCGACGAGAAATTACCAAACGTTATTGGTTTTTTGCTACAAGTCGAGAAATCATTGACATCTATCACAAAGAAGTTGACAAAGAATATCAACAGAATTCGCTATCCTCTCTCAAGATTATTGGAGGATTTGCTTCAATACATCCATTTAATGGTTATACTTGGCTTCCGACGATCAAAGACAATCCAAGTCCAGTTACATATGTATCACAACCTATCTATACACTTTTACCACTAGGTGCACAGCGTGATGCATTGAAAGAAGCAACATTCTACTTTCGATCGGCCATGACTAATAAATCAAATTTATATATTCAACGGTTAGAATCTGAAACAAGTCCACCGCCTTTACCACAATTGAAATGTACTGAACGGCGTCGACGAAGAAAACGTTATATTCAAAAATTATCCTTTTTTACGTAGGGCATACCAAAATTAGTGGTGGAAATACTGTAATCTTTATAACAAACTTATATTAATTTTCTGTCTATAGAGACTGACAGTAAAAACGACGTTCTATTTTTCTATACTATTATATTATTCTTTAATTAATATCATAATAATAAAATGTCAATAATACCCTGTTTAATTATGATGTGTAACGGTTACATTAGTTCATATTGTCTTCGATATGTATTCTCTACTCGATTTTCTCTTTGTTCTTCTCCTCTTTTTTTTAAATTCTTTTTCTCGTCCTCTCTAATGCGTAGCTATATATATAAATATTAAGGTATACAACAAGCACTGGTGGCGAAATAAAAATGAAATACAAAAACAAGTCGTTCGTGCTTCGTCTTCAACCTCTTAGCGATCTTCACGAAACCATTTACACCATCTTTCAACTGTCCTAAGAAAAGTTGTTTTATCACCATAAATAGAACATAATTCATCATGAATAACTCTTGCTTGAATCTTAAGTGCAGTACGCACTTTAATATACAGAGGCAAAAATTTTTTCTTATTCGTCTAAAACAAAGATAAATAGTGTTACGAATATGTCTTTGGTTTTTTTTATAAATTTCGTTATTACAAAAATTTTACACAAAATTACAAAAGATAATCTTCAAGCTGGATATAAAGTGACTTTTTGAATTTTGTTATTGCTATAACTCAATGAAAACTGAATTGTTTAAAACAAAAATTGAACTCCTCTCTTTCAACTCATAGAGTAGAGCAATCTCTCAAGAAATCAAGCGAAAATCTTTCTTATTTCGAGAGTAAATTTAGTTTTACTAACAAAGCGTCGAACGACATTTTTTGCAATAGTTATACACTAAGATTGATTGATATATGAAAATAACGTACAGAAATCGACTCCGATATAGGAAAGTGTTGAGAAAATATTATTTTCATACACGATCGATATCGTTTTATAAAATACAACACTTAGTTTTCTCTTATTATTCAATTTATTTTCATCGATTTTTTTCCTTCAACGGTGCAATGACTGTGCTCTTCACTCATATCTATATGTGTAGATGGTTAGATATTAAGAAAAAAGAATAAAGAAAATCAAGAAGAGAATACATATAGACTATAACACAAAAAACATGTGACCGAAAGATGATTTTAGCAGACGTAAAATTTTATAACTTCTTATCGTAATAAAGATTCACAGAACAACACTAATAGTATTTAGCTTCAATTGTCAATTACTAAATAAATAAGTTTAACACTTCATCATTTCATATTAATAGTAAAATAACTGTGCCGTTAATTCGATGCTGAACAACAAATAAATTACAGTATTAGGTAATAAAACAAGATTTCAATGTTTTTTTTTTAATGAAATGCATTATTTAAATATACTACTATTAAATTTTATGATTTCTGTTCGTTTTCTCTAAAATCATAAGCATGTTTCATTAAACAGTTTCAGATATTAAACGTTTCGTAAACTCGCGTAGATCATAATCTATGTCTTATGTTGTTCGGTAAAACATTCGAATATATAGAAATGCGCAACTATTCAGTATATTCTAGCAAATACAAATTTCTATTTTTGTTTGATTTGATGAGAGATTTTAATATCAGTGTAATGACTAGAGAAGTTTTATTTTTTGATAAAAACATTCAATAAGATAAATTACAACATATAAAACAAAAAAAAAACAACAAAATATTGAGATTACACAAAAAATGACTGACAAAAACACACAATGATCACAATAAAAATAATCTTATAGATTTAAATATGCTCATGATTATGATGATGATGTGAATGTGAATGTGAATGCGAATGTTGACATTCACCTTCACATGGTTTAAATTGTACTCGTTGACGAATAGATAATGGTGTATTTTTTGATGAATGAATAATACCATTTGTTGGTGTTGTTGATAATAAAGCAGTTGCTGCAGATATTGATTCATTAGATAGATGTTTTTCTGATTGATATTCATCATTTTCATCCAATCTAAATGATTAAAAATAAATTTTCAAAAACAAAATACAGATGTAAACACATACTTCCAATCAGCATGTGTCACAACACCAATACCAACAAGACACATGCCAATAAAAATAACCAAACAAAAAACAACTGTAAAATTGACTAGAGGTTTCTATTAAATAGAAATGAATTATTAAATTTTGTAGAAGGAAGAAAAAAGATCTCTCTTACACGATATGTTGGTAAATCAAAATATTTATTGGCTGTTAAATAAGCACAAACTTCAGCATGCATTTGATCTAAACATAAAAACAAACGTTTTTTTCCCTTCCCAATAATTCATTCATATTCAAAATAAAGTCTTGTAGTTCAGTGTAATTTTTTGGGTATAACTTCAATTGAAATGTGTTCGAAGTCCGAATATCAAAATATTGAATTTTCGAAATAAAAACTTTCTTTTTCCTCTTTTCAACTGACATTCTATGATAACTTATTGCGATCTAGTCCTACAATGAATCTTCTTCTTATGTATATCATAATGATGGGACCAATGTTTTCCTTCAAAATTGCTTCCATCATTTTTGATAATCTAGTTATAGTAAAAAATTGAGTCAGACCAATTGTACTCTCGCAGAAAATCAGAAGTAGTTCAAAAGAGGGAAGTACCTTTAATAGAAGTGAAAACGCCCTTCTTTTTCGTACTAAATACTCACGTTGTAATTTAACTCGTGTATCATAATTAACATTTTCTGGAATACATTGATTAATAAGTGACTAAAAATTATTGATATAGAACAAATAAAAATTTCTTATTAAAAATAAATCGTTTATTTACAGTACAATGAGTTCGTAAAACCGTAAGTTGTTGTTGATTAATAATTTTTCTTGGTTTTCGTTTTGTTCCTCGAGAATTACGTGTTAATGGATTTAAAAATTTGAAAGATTTTTTTCGTCGTTTTAAAACATCACATCGAAAAATCGAACAATAATCCGATAGACATATTGATTGTTCACTCTAAAAAATATAAATTTTATTTTCATAATTCAAAAATTTAAAATAAAATCTTCTTACTTTTAATAATGTATCATTATGTCGATTAACAAAATGCATATCAAGATAATATTCGGAATAGAATGTTTTATTACAGTATTTACATAACCATTTATCTTTTGATAATTTCATTTTATTTAATTCTTGTCGATAAAAAATATCACGCACTGGTGAAAAAACACATTCAAGTGGAATTGCTACATGATTTTTTTCATAAATTGGACCGAGTGCCTATATGTTTTTATTTTTTACAAAAAGAAATAAATTTAAATTAATTGAAAAAAAAAACAAAATTACTCGTGTAAAATAATCACGAACAATTCGACTGCCTTCACGTGAACATGGTTTATTACAAAGAATGAAAGAACACTGAAAAAAAAAAATTTTAAAGGTTAATAAAAAAAAAAACAAAGAAAATAATCCTATAGAAAATTTTAACCTACAAGATCCCAAAAAAGAATAAATAAAATATAAATATTCATTATATTAGCATTATATCTAAAACACATAATGTTTTTCTTTCCAGTTTTATTAGTGTCATGAACATAAATAAATAAGAATTTGATTAAAAAACAGATTGTATAGACAATCTTTTTAATATATATATATATCACATCTAACAAATATTGAGAATAATACAAAAAAAAACACAATCAGATCTTTTGTTCGATTGTTATCACAAATAAATAAATAAAAAATCATTGTTGATCAATTAATGTATTGACGTTTGTCTTAAACGGGTTTCATCTGCGACATAGACGGATGGACTAAAAATAAAATTTATCAATTAAGTTCAATCTTACCAATATTTTGTCTAGATAAACTCAATAAATCTTAAATTTGTAATAAAATCTAACGTGTTATTTTAATGTTTCTCTTGAAAACAAAAAAAAATCATCCCTTTTTTTTTTAGTTATAGAAATGTTGCACCAACTTTTCTGAATTTGTTGCTATTTCTTGTGTATCAAAAGATAAGTTTGTAGACTGATGATTTTGTTGTTCATAATCAATATGATTCGTACTTGTGAATGATTTTTTATGTTTAGATGTATATTCAAAATAACTAAACATTGTACCAGCCAATAATGATAATACAATACCAATAATTGTATTGGTATTTATTGACAGTCGATCAAATACAAATAAACCAAAAAATACTTGTAATATACTTTTTAGTACACCAATCACACTAAATTAAAAAAAGAAAATTTTTTTCTCCGTTTCTATTATTAAACATCAGTTTATATAAAAAACCTTGTAGTTAATGCTGAATTTTTCATTATACACCAAAATGTAGCACCATTAAGTAAACCTCCACCGAATGTTGATGATAAGAAATATAACCAAAAAGAAAATGTTTTATAACCATTATATGATTGTACATTGGATAATTCATCAGAAAATATCAACAGTATAATAGATACTATTGGTAATGATACTAGACTATTAATATAGAGAACTTCAGAAGATGTTTTTTGTTCACTACATCGTTGTACTGTTAGAAGATAAAGTGATTGAAATATAACACTTAGACTTCCAATTATATAAGATTCAAGATGAAAAGTTAAATCACCAATTGATGTTATTACAGCACCAGATGTCATAGCTAATACACATAGTCCAGTTTTCAAATCAAGTTTTTTCTTTTTTAATATAATAGATTGTAAGAGAAATGTAAGTGCTGGTGTACAACGCTATAATACAAAAATATAAATATTAAATTCAATAATGATCAACAGAGAGATTTAAATTATATATCAGTTTTCTAGTTAATTGTTTAATCTATATGATTTTTGCATTTTTGCATTCTCATTTCTAACCATTCTAACCAATTGATATATTAATAAAGAGCTTCTAATCTTTCTCTGAAATCTCATAGATCTGAATCCTTTGTTTTTCATTCTCATAGAAACATATTTATAATCAAACGATATTTGCAATCTATTCTCATTCAGCAATATCTGGTCTTCATTTTCATGGACACGACTAAATGATTCATTTTAAACATTCATCTCTTAATAAAGTATAATTGCAAATATGAAAATAAACTAACCTTAATCACAACATAAATAGCAACATTAAGTTTCATAAGTGCTTGTAAAGATAATATAGTACTTAGACTGTAGAAAATGGACGGAACAAGAAATGTATAAAAATCATTTTTTGTCATTACTGGTATATGCATAACATGAATATAGCCAAGTATTTGGAATGATAAAATTATAAATAAAAGTTGAATAAAAACAACAAATAAACTATTTTGAAAATTGCTTATTTCAAAAAGAGCTTTATTAAGAAATGCCATAGAAAAAGATATAAAACCATAACTGAATATTGATGGCAGGTGTAACATTCTCTGCTCTTGTTGTATCTTAAAGAGAAAAAAGAAAGAAATCAAGAAGTTTAATAAAAGTTTTGTTTGCTTTTTCTTTCAATTAAATTTTCATTTAATTATTGTCATTTATTATATAAGATAGTTTTTTCTTTTTTACAAATTTTATTTAAATTATTATTGTGTTCATATATTAAATGAAGATTAAAGTTTAATTATTGAATAGCTGAAAAATAAAACATAATGATAATAAAAATAAAGTCATCGAAGCGATACTTGTCCGAACGAGTCGGCATCGATTATTCCAATCGAACTATTGACATAATTCATTTAATCACTAAATAAACAAGCATCGAATAATAACAAGAAAATAAAACAAAAAATGATTTTTTTTGCTATTGAATCTCTCTTTCTTATTCTTCTTATTTTTTTTTTATCGAACCTTTTTATATCTCGCAGATAAGCACTGGCTATAGACCAATGTTGATCTAGCAAGACAAAAAAAGAAATAAATGATAATAATAAAATAATACAAAAATAAAAAAAAATTTCAAATATCTTGCCTCCTCCTTTATTTCCAAATAAAATAAAACTTTCTTTATTATTTGATAGAAATATAAATCCAAAAATTTTCTTTTTTCATACACATGTCGAAATCAATGAAGATGATCATATGTTTTAATCTCTCTTTAGTTATTTCTATGCATCATTGTCCATAAGTCCTTAAAGTAGAAGAAGAGAATAAGATAAACAAATTTGAAACAAACACAAGAGAGGAAAACAAAAAACAAAAACAAACAAATTCTCTGCTTTGTTGTGCTAATAAATATTACACACAACAAAAATCAAATAATATATAATATATATATATATATATTTTTTTTTTCGTTTAATATAATTGTACAAAATGAAGAAGAAAAAATGAACGAAAAGAGAAATTATAATAAATGATGATTTTTCCTTATTAATTTTTTTTTTTTTACTTTGGACGGTTATAATAGAAAAAGAAAATCCTACATTCTTTTTTTTTATATTATTTCTTTCACTGTCGTTCTTGAATAAATGGATGTTCAAATGCTTGTTTTATATTAAAACGTTTTTGTGGATCAAACATAAGTATTTTATCTAATAAATCTCGAAGTTGTAAAACTTTTTTCATTTGATCTTCTGGTAAACGTTGATGACCAATCAATAATGATAATAAATCACGACATGGATTTATATTTGTTACTGTTGTTACTTTATCCTTAGGAAAGAAAATAAAAAAATAAATAAACATAATTTAATTTACAAAAACAAAAAAAGTTAAACTTACTCGTTCTGTTACTTTATCAATTTCATGATAAAGAAAATTACAATCACGATCAAAATGTTTATCTTTTATCATTCCTTTTCGTATTATTCGATTTGGTATTTTTCCTTTAAGATCCATCATTAATTTTATCATTTCATTATTTGATTTACCCGGAAACATAACTCGACCAGTATATAATTCATAGATAGTTACAGCAACTGACCATAGATCAATTGAAAAATCATATTGCATACCAAGAACTATGAAAACAAGAAATAATTTTTAATTTTTTTTTTTGTTTTTTTTATTTTATTTACTTACTAATTTCTGGTGCACGATAAAATCGACTAACTAAATATGGTGTTATTTCACAATCAGATGCTAATGATGCTGAACCAAAATCACATAATTTTAAATATAATTTTGTTTCATTAACTAAGATATTATCAGGTTTAATATCTGAATGTAAAATATTACATTTTTTTAAATGTTTAAGTGCTAACATTAATTGTTGAGTATAAGAACGAACAGCTTTTATACTTAAACCAATATCTTTACCATATTTTTTAAGTACTTCACGTAAATTCATACTAGAACAAACAAAAAAGAAAACAACAAACATTAAAATTAATTTATTGATTTTTGTTTTTTTTTTTTGACTTACCTAAGTGATTCAAATACAAGACATAAATGATTTCGATGTGTAAAATGATGTAATAATCTTAAACAATGATAACGATCATCTGGATCATTTTCATTTAATTTACGTAAAAATTCTAATTCTTTCCAACCAGTTTTATTCCTAAAAATAGAAATTATATAAATTATTTTCTTGTAGAAACAATTCGATATTAAAATAGAATCAATCATTATTTATACAAAAACAATTTGTATAATCTTATATAACTTCGTGAACATCGAAAAAAAAAAATTAGTACTCTTATTGAAGATATTTTACCTTTAATTAGCAATGATATATTTATGAAAGATTATTGTAGTATATAAGTTATAATCTGTTATTGCATGGAAACATATAAAAAATACATTTCAAGAAGGAAACAGAAAATACAAAGGTAACATACATACTGTCAGGATGGAATTCATGGTATAGGAAAACAGATGATATAAGACATATAAAAGTAACTGATGAAAGATCCGCAAAACTAATGCTGCGCTGCTTTGCATCATTGGCCCCATATGAACGCGTCGTACATCTCTTCTGTGTTTTTTCACGAAGTCCTAAACTATGAAATGGCTAGAAGCGCGAGATTGCCTTGCGAGTTGTCTAGTATGTATAGACCTTGTTGTGTTACGATCCATGGTCTCTTCCATTCTCTATTTTGCCCATTAAAATATCAACTTTATTCATCTGATTATTATCAAGGTTCATGAAAATTTTTAATAACTTTCAAGCCGATGTTCGATATATCTCGAATATGTTTATTCTCATTATCATATGAAAACTTTGTAATGTATGTTGTGTTACCAGTGTTATAAGGAAACGATGAATACTACTAATCAGTAAACTTTATATGTAATATGATACATTAAATGAAATTGAATGTATAAATAAAAATTTCATTTTTAATCATGCTACTAATCAACTATGTGATCAATGATATTGCTATTATAATAGCAGTCTTAAAAACATATATTTGATGAATCGTACTGTCAAAAATGAAGTTTGTATCTCCACAAATTATTACTTTTCACACCCGTACCTAACCCACGAATTGCAGTATTCGAGTTGAAATAACATTCTATTCAATAAATAGTTCTTTTCAATTACACATCTAATCTTTCCTATCAATTTTTCGTTCAGAAAAACTTATTGTAGTTTTCTTTTTTTTTTATTA